GGCCCCATCTGCTTCGAGCAGGTGACTGTCTGTCTATCTGTCTCCGTAGAGCAGTTGGTGGCTGCGATGGAGAATCAGGTGCAGCATCCTCAGGGTCTGCTGGACACACAGACACACACAGACAGACACACACAGACAGGCAGACAGGCAGACAGGCAGACAGACAGACACACACACACACACACAGACACACACATACACACACAGACACACAAACACACACAGACACAAACACAAACACACACACACAGACACACACACACACACACACACACACACAGACAAACACATACAGACACACACACAGGCACAGACACACACACACACACAGACACACACACACACACACAGACAAACACATACAGACACACACACACAGGCAGAGACACACACAGACACACACACACACACACAGACACACACGCACACACACACACACACACACACACACACACAGACAAACACATACAGACACACACACACACAGACACACACACACACAGACACACAGACACACACAGACACACACACACACACACAGACAAACACATACAGAAACACACACACACAGGCAGAGACACACACACACAGACACAGACACACACACAAGCACACACACACGTACACAGACCATCCAGTGATGTGCTGAGTGAGTGAGTGAGCAGACCTGAGATTCAGCGTGGTCCAGTTTGAGCTGGATGCCTGTCCCTGCACAACAACATGTTCCTGCTGCAGCCTTTCAATGCTAGCTTGAAGTGTAGTGCAGGCCTCTGGATCCACAGGGCACTGCTGGTGCATCGGAGAGGTGTCATGATTATTGTCAGGGGTTTGCAGATGATTGGATGCCAATAGTTGTAGCTGAGGGATGTGTAAGGCTAGTGCCCATGGCTCGTGCCCTAAGGTGGTGTTTGGCTGTGTGCAACATGGAAGTCATTTGGAGCAAGCTGGCAGACTGGGTCAACCAGGTACCTGCTGTGGTTTCTAAGTCGCCGTTTACTCAATGTTTAGTTTATTTGGTAATATGATAAGAAAGAAAGCTGAATGTTATTGGAGTTAATGGTACTACCATCAACAAGGTGGTTAACAGGCAATAATTCTTCTGAATAGACAACTCACCACTGCCTGATGAAAATCTTGCCATTAGTGGAAAGCATTAAAGATGGAGCAAGTTCTTCCTACCATCGTGATTGGTCTTGAGCAATTTCTCATCTGGTTCTGCCACATTTTCACCATAGTCCAAGTCACTCAGATCCCTGTAATATTACATCTCTGTGACCATACAGTTTTAAACTGCAACTGCAGTGATAATTAGTTTTCTTTCATGTTTTGGGAATTTTGTTGTCTACAAGAATCACCAGGCAAGAGGCCCAGATTGTTTCATAGTGTCCCACGCAGAATGATCACACATGAGTTTTTCTCCTCCTCTTGGCCTCTATCCCAGGCATTCCAGCTGAGACTGATAATCCAACATCTTTCCAACCACAATATTGTCTCCCTATTCTCCCATTTCATTCAACAGCGGCTGCTGTCATGTGATCACACTTGGGATGCTATTGCATTTGCTGACTGGCTATGAATAGTTTATGGTGATTGGAAAACGATTTGTGAACATTTTTATATAGAAACTCTTAAGAAAAATGATTGTTTCCATCTTTTAGCTGAACATTTCAAAACCAATTTCATACCATTTCTGGCCTTGTATGTTCAGGTTACTTTCATCTCCAGTTAAGGAGATGTAACATCTTGTTTTAGAAAAAAGATCTAAACCTACTCTGATTTTCTTTACAGTCATAACTGGAATAAAATAAAAAGTTATTTGCCTGCTAGTGACTGTGAGATAGATAATTTCAATTTAATCTTTGTTCTGAATCACAGCCTAGACCTCGTTATCTCATTTGGCCTTTCTGTTGTCAATGCGTCAGTCACTATGAAGCCATTTCTCATGAACCCTGTCTTACTCCTTTCAAACGTACACCATCTGCATCTCTTTTGGGGGAGGGAGAAAAAAGTCTCCCCCTTTACAGATTGCACTTTCATTTTTAGTCTTCCATTTGTCACAAGGCTTCTGCAGCTCTCAACTTGCCCAGCTACTTTCTCAGCTCCACTTTTGAGGGCTAGGTACCAAGGACCAAGTTTATTATCTCCAATCCTGTTCATCCCTCCCTGAATGAAACTATCTCCGCTCCCTCAAGTCCAAAGACTTGAGGATACAAGTATGCAGTTGCATTCACCATCCACCATAGAATGGAACTGGATCACATTAAGCATGAACATTCCTCTGTACAGGATCCATGTCATCCAGTAACTATCCTCAACCTCTGTCCAGCTCAATTGCATTACCCTGACTTAATTCCTCTCTTGCTCATACAATTAGGCAGATGATCTGCAGTAATGATGCTCTTTGTTCTACTGCCTTGTTACTATTGGATCTATCATTGACCTCCTCTGTCTTATCACCTTTGTAATATTATCACATCTTTGAGATTATCTTCCGCCTGTATTTTGATGACATGTAGCTCTGCCTCCTAAGCACCTTTCGTGACACTTCCACTGTCTTTGTGGTGACAGAGAGTGATTTTATCTGATATCTAATATTGAATGAGTTGGAACTTCCTCCAGCTAACATTTGGAAAATCAAAATTGTTGGCTTCAGTTTTGGCCACAAAATGCATACACCTTCCAGTGATTTAATCCACCCCCTCAATTCCTCACACACTAACTAGATTATTTGACACTTGGACATTCTATTCAACCCCAAGCTAAATTTCTGAATTCATATCTCCTCCATTACAAAGAACACTCAGACTTACATATAAAAAGGCATCCGCCCGCACCCTTACCTCAGCTTATCTGCAGCTGACTCTCTTCTCAGTCATTGACGCATCCAGACCAAAAGCCTCCAATGCTTTTTGTTTGGTTGTGAATGCTCCACTATCTCTCTAACTTTCTCCACATCCCCTTCTGGACTTTTCATCCTTCTGATGGTTATGTATTCCCTCCCTCATCTAGATGTTTCTTAAATGTTGTGAAAGTATCTGCCTGCACCACCCTGTCAGGCAGTGCATTCCATTTTTCTACCACCCTCTGGGTGAGAAATGTTTCCTCAGAAGCCCTCTAAACCGCATACTCCTTACCTTAAATTTATGGCCTGTAGGGGTATATCTGCCAGGGAGAAAAGATTCTCATGATCTACCCTGTCTCTGCCTCTCATAATTTTGTAAAACTCAATCAAATACACCCTCCCCCAACCCCACCCTTAACACCACTGCTCTCAGCCTGCTCTGCTCCAGGGAAAACAAACCCAGCCTACCAGTCTCTCCTTATAACTGAGAATTTCCATCCCAAGAAACATCCTCTGTATCTTGTCCTGTGAAACCTGATAATGTGGTGACCAGAACTGCACACAGTATTCCATCTGTTGCCTTACCAATATTTTATAAAATAGTAACAAGACTTCCTTGCTCCTCTGTGATGTCAAATATCCCTTGATGTCTTCTTTACCACCCTGTCTACCTGTACCAACACCTTCATAGATCTATGGACTTGTACACCAAGGTCCCTTTATTCCTCAGTGCTCCCTAGGGACCTACCATTCATTGTGTATTTCCTTCCGTTATTGTACCTCGCCAAATGCATCACCTCACAGTCATCTGGATTAAATTCCATCTGCCACTGCTCTGCTCAATTCACCAGCTGATCAATATCAGATTGCAGTCTCTGACCATCCTTCTTTCCTAATAATGTGAAACTCACAGTTCTGTCACATTGCAAGTAATTCCAAAGTGGTCAATTTCGAAGCATTGTTCAGTAATTTTACTGAATCACTAATTTATTCTTAAAATTAAAATTTATTTATGTAAAATTGTCACACCAGAAATTTTCATCCTGAGCAAAGCTGAATTTTAAATGTTTTTCCAGTAACATTGGCAACAAGAGGCACTATTATATTAAAACATTGTAGATGGATCAGCTTAAACATCGTATGAACTTGGTTTAATTATTTCCTTTGCCAAAAATTTTATCTATTTTCAATTTCTGGTGACTTTAATTTGAATTAAGTAACTTAGGATTCTACAAGATGAATTTGAATTAAAATAACTTAACATGTGTCAGATATGTTAGACCTCTGACAGCATACACTTTCCAGTGTAAATTGGTATAAAGGAGACCCAAGACAGCTATGTTTCTGTTACATAACAAAGAATAGAATGGAATTGAAATATTTCTATCAGAGCTGAAATGGTTGTGTATTAAATCTATTCCAATGCCCCACTTTTCCCAGCCTATTTCTGATTTGCTATGCACTCAGTACCGACCACACATGTCATACTAAGAATAGTTCATTACTCTTAGCAGCATTATGAATTAAAAAATAATCTATCATTCGCTGACAATGTACGGTTCAGTAGCTATGTTTGGTATTGGAAACCAATAGAATTAACTTCAATGTAGATAAGTGTGTGGTGCTCTGTTTTGATGGGAAGAATAAAGGTATCATTGGAAAGTAGCATTTAGACATGAATGAGGAATGGAGGGACCTAGAGGGGTACATACATGTAAAAGCGCTGATTCAAGTAGATAGATCATACAACACAAACACAAACTCCAACCCTATCTTTGGAACTCCTTTCTGTAGGTCTAGAATTGACAAGTAGAGAAGTTACTTTAACCCTTTGTAGAATCTTGGTTAGGCTGCACATGGAGTGCTGCGAATAGTTCTGGACTTCAGCTTAAAAAGAATGCAGAGAATATCAAAAAGATGAAAAACAATTTACTAGAACAAAACTGGAACTAAGAGGTTATATCTATTAGCAAAGGCTATGGCTCCTTTTCTGGAAAAAAGACTAAGGATAGAGCTTTTTAAAATTATGAAAAAAGAATTGGTTGGGCAAATGTAGGGAAGATGTCCCCTTATGCATATACTGTATGGGATATATTGTGACTGTATGACATATTAAGTTACTTTTGGTTGAATTTCATTGCACCAATTTTGTTTTTAGGCGATTCAGTTGACAGCATTCAGAGTATCAGGTATGTCCAACTACAGTACCATTGCTTTCTTGCTGTAATGGGGGGAACTAAATCTCTCAACAATTCACAGTGAACCCTGAATTCTAAAACTGACAAGTAGACAAAATCTAATCTTGTAGTGATGTATACATTTGACAGGTCGATGACAAACTTATCTAGATAAATATTTTTTAAATGAAAACATGTTTTGTGGACTCTACAATTTACTAAACCACAGCTTTGGTTAAGGTTCGCTATTATAACCTGAGGAAGCACTGCTGTTTTCAATGGGCGATAACATTAATCTTGGACAGGGCTGCAAAATGTTTGATAGTGCCTCAGAAACTCGTTTTGCACACTGTCCAATATCCTTTGTGGTTGATCCCTATGGAAAATATAAGTAGACGGAGTGAAAAGTAACAGTAAGGAAGATATGTTCCAGACAAATTTCACCTCAAAGTAATCATCAATAAGATTTTCAGTTTTACAAATTGATGGTCCTTTTATAATGTATTTGATGTTAGAGGAATTTAGTTTGGTTTTATAAATTTAAAACTGAATCAAGTGAATTTTCTCTTCTGTCTGCCTTTGCTTTTCTTTTCCTAGGATACATCCTTTCTTTGAATGTTTGGTGTACATGTTATAGGCAGGAGGCCCGCTGTCTATATGAAGCCAGTTATTCAATATGCCTAACTGGTGATAAAGAACCTCCAAGTACTTAGGACTGCTATTTCCAAAGAGTGCCCAAAAACTGAACCAGTTTGGTGTACTCTAGGTATTATTGTGACCAGGGGTACTGTGGTATACACCTTGGCCAGATGTGATCTAAGCATCTACAAATGATCGGCAAAGAGATTTTGCTTTGACCCCACAAACTGTGCTGGGTGTCAGCATTGGAGTGTGGGATTGGTACACTCTAGTATTTATGCTTTCTTGAAGATGTTCATTGCCTGCAGCTTGTGTGGTGGGAATGTTACTTGCCACTTATTCAGTCAAGTCTGAATGTTGCTAAGACCTCACTGCACTCAGGATCCGTGCTTGCTTCAGAGATAGTAGGAACTGCAGATGCTGGAGAATCTGAGATAATGAGGTGTAGAGCTGGATGAACACAGAAGGCCAAGCAGCATCAGAGGAGCAGGAAGGCTGACGTTTTGGGCCTA